GTAGATTCGTGGATGAGGGAGAAGGAGCAACGCAAATAAAGAATGAAGTAGTAAACTGGAGATCTATGGCGCTACTCTCGAGATCTGATAGCGTTATTCTCGAGTGGGCCTTTTTTTCTGTGGTTGGTCGAAAATGTGTCAATTCAAGTAATTCCTTTTTTTTCCGTCGTTGTTCCGTCATTAAGGCAAATTGCACCTGATGCCATCTGCAATAAGCTTTGAATTTTCCTCCGCATTCAAACCAAAAAAAAATACGATAACGAGCTCTGTCGAGTTTATACTAAATTGTAATTTATTTATAGTAGGTATTTTTTGTCCTTATTGTCTATCTTCTCATTAGGCCTTAAATGAGGCCTAATTTACAACTTTAATAGGTGGCTTGTTTTGAAGAAAGCTCAGGTTTGAAATAGGCATCGCCAACTATGGACCTAGCAGTAGCGGATTCAGCACCTTCATATCTCTCTTTATGATGTTACGTCTTCCTTATACCTCACATCGGGCGTTCCTTGTGTTACGTAAGGAATGCGTTAAGTAGCACGGTTTAATACGTTCCTGATCACTTTCTTTTTTAATGGTGTTCTACATTATTTGATTTTCGTTTGTTTAATTAGAGAGTAGATAATTTTATATATTGTTAATCGTTTGCTTTTGGATACCTACTTAAAAACTACACAAGATACTTCTTTCCTTACTAATAAGTACAAAACTTTCTTAACTACCTGTACAACCACCTTAATAATATCTAGCAGGCTGATATTAGTCCCATCCAGAAGCAGAAGGATTTATTCTCGGAAATGTAGAAACGCAGATATTAATGAGAGAATTCTAATTTTTATTAGGACAATGCAAAGCGTGTTTAACAAAAACGTTTAAGTGCTTCGGAGGTCATTGAAGACTGTGTATCACCATTGTGACAGCTTATCATCCTGTCGTCTGAAATTGTAATACACATCAACCTCTCAAATCCCTTAGTCGCTTCCTACGACATCCACGGGGTGAAGCACCACACATACGGCAACCAACTGCAATACCAAAGTTCATGGGGCGTCTGTCGACCCCCATGAAACGAACGAATGAATAGAAAATATTCTGAAAAGCACTTAGAAATGTCACCGCGCCATTTCGCAGCCATTGCTGTTATAATTGGTCACGAGTCTGTGACGCATACAAATTGCCCCCTGTTTTTTGTCAGGGGCTAATTAGAGAATTCTGTTTTTTATTTTCTCGCTGTTTTCTCTTTCGGGCCGTGATATAGAGCATGACTAGATGAGTGGAATTGTTCGGAAAATAAATAACAACAACAGTTTGTTTGACGATGAAATATTGTTTTGTCGAATGTTTCATCTTGATCTTATTCTGAACACAAAGAGAACTGTTTTCTAATTAAGTATGTGAATAGTAAATTTCACGGAGAATTATAATCACCTTCCTGCCCTTATCCCAAATCAGTTGGGGTAAGAGCAACGTGTTTTGTTAAAACACAAAATCATGTAGCAAAAGGATTTGGATGTTTTATGACCGGCCGCCTGAACACTCTTTGCATTTATGTGACGTATGTAGTATCACCAACACCATGCAAATCACCATAGTCGACAGCTAGGTTTTCAGCCGAGGTTAAAAACACTACGTCGCATTTTAAGAAACGTCTTGAGTGGACTAGGCTACCCCGCGCGGTATTCAGCGAGAATTTATACTGGGTGAAATTTAGCAAAAACTCAGAACCTGATGATAAGAAACACCTTTCCCCAAAGAACAAAGATGATAAGGAACAAGGAATATGAAAAAATTTGGACCTCCTATAATAACTCAAATCAGCTGATCGGCGGGTCGTTGGACGACTTGGTGTCCCACTCGAAGAAGGAAGCTGATCGGCAATTTTGTACGAGAGGTCCAATTTTTTTAAATATTCTGATTTATGTTTCTTGGGGAAAGTTGTTCCTTTCCACCAGCTGATTTTGAGTTTTTGCTGTCGGTCACTTGTAAAATTTCACCCTATGGAACAAACTTTTGTGACTATAGTCACTCACCTCACCACGCTTGGAAGGCGGATTGGCAAGCGCAGAGATGATGCATTTACTGGGAACGCTGCTGCCCATTCCCTGGACGATTATCCCATAGACGCTATTTTTACGACACCCACGGGTAAAATTGGGTTGATGCTATTCTAAGCTGGTATCATACGGCAGTCATTCGACTGGCTGAAATGCCATGCAAAATACTTACGGGGTGGGTAGGTATTTCGACTACCTCAATCACTCATTCAATATCTTATTTAGATTCGTATTGAAATGAGATAGGTACATAGGGAAAAGGGAATAAGTAGGCTAGAAAGGATATTACGTAGGTAAGTAGCGACGTCATATTGTAGAAAAGCACATAATTCCACAGAAAGTGTGGGAGTGAAGTCATTAGACGCAGCTAATTAAAGACATTTTGCCGCAGGCTTTGCTGTGCCCTAATGCTCGTATTATGAATGAAACATTATATCTAACTGTAGTAACCTACTCATCAAAGTCACAAAGATATCCCTTTTGTTGTAGAAGGTAAAAGATTTTTTGTAAAGGTGAACGAACCTTTCCATGAAACTAAAGAATATTTCACATTTTGTATGGGAGGGTCAACATTTTCTTTAGATTATGTTTGCCTATGGAAACTTAATTGTTCACACCTTCTTCTTCTCCTTTTCGTGTAGGACAGAGTCATCCAACGACCCGACGAACCCTAGTTTTACCCTTGAAATCAACGCTTGAAATACATCTTTACAGGGCTGTTTTATAATGTCAAAGTGGTGCCGGCTTAGAATAGCATCACCTCATTTCTTTATGTAGGTGTCTTAAGCGACTAAGGGGCGTAAGGGGCTCTAGGCAATTATAATTGTGAATTCCAATTTTAGTCGACAGGCTGACAACCTGCCACTATAGAGTCACGACAACAGCTAAAACGGCCCTCAAATATTTGTCAGACGTGGCGATAAGCGATAACAACTGTATCTTACGGCCGTTGACACTCTGTCTACCCCGCAAGGCCTATGCTATGTATGTAACTATATATTTTGTCAAATTAAAAAGTGCAAGTATCGTAATTTCGCCGCCAAACTAATACCTACAATACTTACAATGTATTACGGTTTTCAAGTACCAAAATGTGTTGTAACTCGCAAGAATTTGTCGTGGGACGCACGCAGGCGGAATAATAAGGAATGCGAACTTGTTTCATATAAAAACATGCTGTACAGTGACGGATTAAGGGTGTTTGGGACCTCTGGGTCAATGTGTTAGCTGTGACATTTTATCTATTGGTTTGCGTGGTTTGTAAAGACATTTTGCAGGTAAAAAGGAAAATAATATTTATTGTGTATTTTCGAATAATAGGTAACTGTATCAGCTCGGTAAAAAGATTTCTTGCGTTTTGGGTAAAAAGTTGTTTTCGAATGTCACAAGAATCAGTTTTTACAAAGGTACACAGGTGTTCAAAGTTTCTTTATTTCCTATGCAAATTAGAGATAAGAACTGGGTATAGAATCAAAGCCACATCTTGTGAAAGTTTAGTTCCAAAATTGGCAACCTCTTAGTGCTCCACAGGTAGGTAGCAATAGGGTGACGGCCTCACACGGCGACTAATTCAATCTTTACAAATAATATTACGTAAAGGTAACTAATATGAAATCAGGTACACAATGGCAAAAGGTTTACATATTTTGTTGGTATTTTTATAGTCATGTAAATATTTTCTTGCAAGAATGAGATAATGTGGCAAAATATTTTTGTGCCTCCCTAATTTTTTCCTTAGTACCTCACTGGTAAGTAGCCGAAACATATCTACGGAAGTTGTGCCCTTATGAAATAAAGCGCCCCCTGGCGGGCCTAATGCAGAACTGGACATGTGCACGTTACACCACTTTCATGGGATTAGGAAATGTTTTGTTTGTTTTCCTTTTTTGAATAGAAGTTGAGTATCGGTAGGACCTTAAGTTATAAGGGAGTAACTTGAACTGGTTGCTTTGATGAATTGTATTGAAAACCAGTATTTTATAGACCCTTGGAGGAGCAGCTTTGCATAAAGGTAATGTGCATGATACACCACTTTTCTAAATTTAGGAAATATCTTTGTTTATTTCTCTTTTTGCTTGGATGACACACCATTTAGCTACCTTTTTAAGAGGTCTAGGTATAGTAATCTTGCTTAGGTACTCCAAGAATGTAGTCTATCTACCTACACGTACACCAATATTATAAAGAGGAGCTAGTTTAGTTGTTTAGTTGTTTGTTTTCTTTGTTTGCTTGTGTATTATCGAAAAACTCAGAAACTATTGGAACAAATTCAAAAAACCTTCCATCATTAGAAAGCTACAAGATATGTAGTAGAGAACCCCAAGTGACATAGGCTACTTTTTATCATAGAAAAATATCTCATTACCCACGGAAAAACAGTTAAAAGTAAATAAATAAATATCCTTTATTTTACTTTACCTATTCTTAGAATAATTGTATTTGGTGGGAATCGAACCCACGACCCTCGGCGTAGAAGGCAGGGGTACTATCCACTACGCCAACGGGACAGTCGAGTAGGAACAACTTGTTACTATAGGCAAAGATCCGATTCCTACGGGAAAACGGGTACCTATTTAGCAGCGGGTGAAACCGTTTGGCGTGCCGCTACGCTAGTAAGATATACCTATAATAAATTCAATTTAACCAGTTAATGTCGGCGCTCTCCATAATCCCTTAACCTAAACCCTTTGAAGTTTGACTAATATGTCAGATCCAATATACCGTAGATATTCTTCATGAGAAAAGCGAAATCCCAAGAATTTACTGTTACGATATGCCATCAAATGAGAGAGACCCGATTTGGCACGGTTCCAATTCGTCGTAAAAACTATTCATTCTATATTCTCTCTCACGCTCACGTCCAGTAATTAGTTTTACTTAACTTGAATAACAAATTTTAAAACACTTCTCGTGTTAGGTATACAATTTATGGAAAACTTGCAAAATTTCAACCGCAGGCAGGATTTGGACCTGCGACCTTCGGCATCTGTACTGGCGACGCCACTACCAATTGGGCCACCGCGGTTCTAATTAAGCAAGTATATCTTGTCCACTAACGCGTGGATGGGCTCCATCTACCGGGAATTAGTTGCAAAAACTATCCCGGTAGATGGAGCCTATCCACGCGTGGACAAGATATACTTGTCTAACTTAACCTTTAATCTTTACAGCCACAACAGTCCACTGCTAAGTCTGAGCCTCCCCTTATTGGGGGGTATGCCATACTCACCACGCTTAGCAGGCGGATTGTAGCTTTGTGCTGAATTAGGACTCGTTTATAAAAGGAGATTCTTTCGCCTTGCTCATGTTTTGCCGGATCCGGTTGACAGACGGAAGAAATTATAAAATCAGGTAGCATATGTACCAAGTGATTTTGAACAAAGTAAACAATGTTTTTAAGATATTATTTTTTATTTTCCATTTTATACATATGTTTACTAAAATAAATCATAAAACACCACACCACAGTTCATATTTTTCACATAAAGAGCATACAAAACAGCCGCGCGATAAAATCTCAAGGACACACTTAAAGAATAAATGTTTTTTATTGAATATACTCTATGGTTCCGAGCTTGGTGTTGCCATTTTTATATTTTAAATCCTACCTAGATTGTATTTTATTTATTCATTTACCCCTGCGTTCAGTAAATATTTTCAAAATGAGCAAAATGTGAGCTCACAGCTGTGCAACCAGATCCTGTTTTTTTTGCAGTTGGGGGTAAAATGGCGGCGACCATATCCTGGCTTTTCTCCAGTACAGGGGATATTGTCCGATACGTCCTCGGTCAGCCTTAATGAGTGTCGAACTGGAACCGTGACGTACCGGCCCTAGCTCCATCAAAAGATCATTATTTGGGTCGCCACGCTGATTATAACACAATATTTTCCCGCGACGTTCGCGGACGTTTGATATACGTCCGATTTAACGTGTTATTACGTGACGTCGGAACTGTTTCGAAACCCAATAGGCCATTCTGTGGGGAACCTATAGCAAACATTGATTCGCAAAAGGTGGGGCGGATTATGTTTTTGCATAATCTTGTAAAGGTATCAAGGACAAATAAAACCCCAAGTTTTCGACCTCGAGACTTCCCGGCTCTAGCCGCCATCTTGAATTGAAAGTTCGAAAAACAGGTTTTTTGCGAATAACTTGTTAACAATTGATTTTAAGACAAAAAAATGTATGAAAGGAATAAAGAAAATATTATTTCCCAAATTTCATTCATACATGTATATTAGCTCAGTCTAACAGGTAAAAAGATATAGACAAAAACAAACATATTTATATCAAAAAGTTAAGTACACCGCACGAGGTGGAAGTAAAAAACATATGCATGAATTTTTCAATTTTTTTATATGGTTACGTATTATGGTGTATTTAAAAAAAAATGTGACAGGTGAACACTTTCTATGTCTGGTTTCGGAGATACCTAATGGCGTTTATGTAGACAAATTCCCATCATACTAATGGAAAAATTTGCTAGTTTTCAATTATGTCGATTTTCTCACTTTTTTATAATAAAAACTGTTATTTTTACTTTCGAAATATATAAGGTCCTATTAAATTCACTGCAAATATTTTAGGGGCAGATCAAATAAAATATAAGCATGTACTAGGCAAATTTTTTAAGAAATCTACACGCTAGTTTTTGAGAAAATTGCATTTAACTAAAAAAAAAAAACCGAAGAAGTGCACCCTGTTTGTGCTAGAAACACACACTTCGATGAACTTAAATTACGCGCCAAAAAAAGGTGCTGTGATTGGTTGGTTGTTAGTATCCTGTCTACGTGGCAGAACGTCAGTCGGGTCAGTCAAAGGATGTTCACTTCATTAATCAAAAAGTTTGTTTAAAAATGAAAAAAATCTAACGTGTAGATTTTTAAAAAAATGCCTTAGATGTGCCAAGTAATTGGGATATGGGCAGGAAGATGATGATGTTTGTTTTTGTCTATATCTTTTTACCTGTTAAACTTAGCTAATATACATGTATGAATGAAATTTGGAAAATAATATTTTCTTTATTCTTTTCATACAAACTTTTGTCATACAATCAATTGTTAACAAGTTATTCGCAAAAAACCTGTTTTTCGAACTTTCAATTCAAGATGGCGGCTAGAGCCGGGAAGTCTCGAGGTCGAAAACTTGGGGTTTTATTTGTCCTTGATACCTTTACAAGATTATGCAAAAACATAATCCGCCCCACCTTTTGTAGGCGAAATATCCCTACAGATTGTACTACAAGAAAACGTTCGGCGATTTGTATTGCATTTCTCATTTCTTGACTATACTGGGTCTCAATTTCTTTAGGTACCGATAGTTTATTTTACAATCATCTACATCCGCACACAACCAGTTCAGTGCAAGCTTTGCTTTTATAAGGACCGCTGCTGCTGCTGGTCACTTTCTGGATAGATTTATCCAAGTTGTTTTTTACGACACCTCTGGGCAGAGAAGGGGTAATAGTACCTACCACAACAGGGGCACATATTATACAGGGTGTTATTGTATTAAACATTAAACTGAACAATTCTCCCCAAGCAAACTACGTCTGTCAGCCGGTAGGTACATTTTGTATGGAAGATTAAATTTTTACAAATATCTAGATAACAATATTTGTTGCGTGCCACACTCTGTGCCGTTAACAAAACAGTTTAATTTATGCTAAAAAACTTACGTATTACCCTGCTTCCCCATCTAATTTACATGTCAACTTATCTGTCAAGATGTCTGTTTAAACTCCACATAGATAACCATAACTCTTATTTCAAACCGAACTAATTTCTTAATCCAGTTTTAACTAATCCGCGCGGCCAGAAATTGTCTCTGAGAGTTTCAAAGGAATTTAATAAATTTTGAGAGATTTCAAAATCTAGTTTGGTGCAAAGATATTGGGAATTCTTGTAAAGGTTGTCTCAGAAATGTGATTTAGAACATTGTTCCGATCTTGACCTTTTCGCGGTTTTATGTGGACGATTTTCTCCTCATATCTACGTCTTGTCATTCTCTTTGTGATAGGATCGCCGTGTAGCAGCGGCTAAGAATATTGCTACCCTGTCCACTCGTAAAAGGCTGGATATTTCGTAAAAGGCGACGTAGAGTTTCTGACCTTGGCTGAATATTTTCCGAATACCTTAATTTAAACTGTTCTCAATGAAGAAGAAGATGGTACCTAAAGCGAGTAATAACTGTAAGTCAATGGAACGGTAATAATGATAGAGCTAGCCAAAAATAACATTCCACAAATAAATACCATTCAAGCCTATTTTTGTAATACATTTTGTAGGTTATTTGCTTATTACCTACCTCAAATTAGAAAGCCGACGCGTGGGGTTGCCATGCCACCTTTTATTGCGGTGAGTGAATGAAAATAAACTGTATCGTACTTATTGCCTCTTTTTGCCACTTGCTTAGGCATGTTTAAGTACTTTGAGATTATCTATCTACCTTACAATACTTTGCGGTTTCTAGAACTTTAAAAACTACATTACAACTACATTTTATTCACTCTTAACCACTTTTATGGGACATAGCATTAACTCCAATGGGAGTTACGAAGTCGATTCAAACTATAAATAAAATTTGCTCACTAACGGTTCTCAAAGTTTCCTTTACGCAAATCTCACACGCACTGGACAATGTCGCGGTTCGTGATCTTCTTCTTCTTCGGGACACAATGTCGTCCAACGACCCAATGAACCCTGGTATCAAAGATTTTCAACCGCCTACTGCAGGCCTTTGTCATGGTTGTGTAACGACCGTTGTCTAAGTGATCATAGACAGCAAACGGGAACGACGGCTTAACGAGTCCATCCGAAGCACGGAACCATCTTGCTTTTCAGACAATCAGGTGGTTCATCCTGCAATGTCCTAACCAGACTGGTAACAAATTCACAAAGTGATAAAATATCAACTTTGTGAGTGACACCATCGGTAGTTGAACCTTTAGGTACTTCTGCGTCACGGGCAGTCGTACTAACCACTGCGCCATATCTGCTGTCAAATTAATATGGTGGCTAGCGGCTCGTCATAGCTACCATACAGACGACAAACTTTGACGGCCGTAATTTTGTTGCGGCAAATTGAACCATAGTATCCGGTGTTTAAATGGAATTTCGTCTGAAAATCCTGATTGTCCGAAAAGTAAGATGGTTCCGTTCTTCGATGGCACGTTCAGTCGTTGTCTATGACTGATTACTTAGATGGTGGTCGTCACACATCTATGTTAGAGGCCTGCTACATTTAGTAGGCGGTTCAAAAACTCTTTTTCTTCTTTTTCATGTCAATAGTTCGAAGTAGATTTTGTCCTGCCAGTATTTGGCGACGGCAATGTCATTATCAGTCGCCAAACTCTGACACCAGGGTTCACCGGGTCGTTGAACGACACCGCCCAACGAGCAAAAAGTGGTTTTGTAAGGATCCTAAGACCAATTTTAATCGCACTAGTAGCGAGCTTATAAACCTCTACAAACCCGGAAAAAGGCGCACTTACAAGGCTATTTAGTTTTTTAATAATCCTGTAGTACCCTCACGGAAAGCAATTTAGTACTGTAAAAGCCTTGTAACAACATTTGGAAAACCGTTCACTCCTACGAAAACTACTACTAGCTTCCAACAAAACTAAAGTTTTTTAATAGTCCTATAGCATTCTCACGTAATGCAATTTAGGACTGTAAAAGCCTTGTAACAGCTTTTGGAAAACTATTTACTCCTACGTAAGCTACTACTAGCATCTAACAAAACTAAATGAGACTATTATGCACTTCAGGATTCTTCAACAAGAACCAACTCATTCGTTTCGTTCATTCCCAACGAGCAATATTGCCTCAGAACACAGATGTTATAGGAATATGACACTATTAAGATGCCTATATTGACTTACACGATCGCAATTTCACTTAAATAGATCTCAGAAAGTGCTATTTGGTATTTGATCGCAAATAGCCTTATATTTAAGCTTTTAGACGTTTATAAGTTTGTGCATTTTGACTACTATAAGCCAAATCGTCCAGTAATAGCTTTCA